CATTTTACATCAAGAATTTTAAAAATGTGAGTGGGTAGGGAGAAAAAGAGTCAGCTCAAGGAAAGAAGTGGAAGAAAGAGGCATAAGTGGAGAGGAAGAACTAACAGATGGGGTGAGGGGAGTGACTTTGGGTGTATATGATGCACCCATGAGTATGTGCTCACAGACCAAATGTGCACGTCATCCCCTCCCCACATAGTTCACGTCTCTTATAATGACTAATGCCAGGTTAGAACAGGGAAACGGTACAATTCTTTAAAACATCAAAGGGGAATATTCATTTTATTTTTGGTTCTAATGTCATTAGATTATTCAATTAGTCTTTTATTTTTAAAAATATGAAAAGTATTACACTGGATAACAATACTGTCAATTCAAGACAACAAATCTCAACTGTGCACCTTCAGATGTGCCTTGTACCCTGTATGCTAGGCCCTAGGACAACAAAGGGAACTAAAACCAGGGGTCCTGCTCTCAAGAGGCCTTTAATCTTCCGGGGCATCATGTAAGCAAATTAACAATTATAAGACAGTGTAATAAGGGCTAGAATAGCAGGAGATGCTGGAAAGCATGGAAGCACTAAGAGAGGTTCTTAAATTAGCCCTAGCAGGGATAGTTCAGGTCCCTGGAAGGCACAAATGTTTGCTCTCAGCTATTAACCTGAATATTGGTGGTTCGACCCACCCAGTGGTGCCATGGAAGAAAGCCCTAGCAATCTGCTTCTGTAAAGATTACAGACAAGAAAACCCTATGGAACTCAGTTCTACTCTGTGACACATGAGATTGCCATGAGTCGGAATTGACTCAATGGCATTGTGGTTGGTTTTGGGTTTAGGGCTATTTCAAAGATGGTTTAAGAGGAAAAGAGATAAAATAAGAAGAGAGCTTCATCAGCACACCTAGACGGTGCCTGGCTACCACCACTGACTGCTTTGACAGGGATCACAATAGAGGATCCCGGACAGAGTTGGAGAAAAATGTAGAACAAAATTCTAACTCACAAAAAAAAGGCCAGATTTACTGGTATGACAGATACCGGAGAAACCCAAGAGTATGGCCCCTCGACACGCTTATAGCTCAGTAATGAAATCACTACTAAGGCTCACTCTTCAGCCAAAGATTAGACAGGCCCATAAAACGAACAATAATACATGTAGGGAGAGGTGGGGCCAAGATGGCCGAGTAGTCAGACGCTTCCTGTGGTCCCTCTTACAACAAAGACCCAAGAAAACATGTGAATGGATTATATATGATAATCTAGGAACACTGAACATCAAAGGAAAAGTTGAGGAATAGGACTGAATGGCAGGGGGAGGGACAGATGGTTCAGAAGCAGCGAGGAGTTGCCAGACCTGACCCAGCGGGAGCTGGTGCCCTGCAGGCCGGATCAGCTGGCATGCACAGTGAGGCAGGCATAGCATTCAGGACCTGTTTTCCATGTCCGGAGAGACTAAGTGGTGAAGAGTCTGCTCAGGCCTACAGAGCCAGTGAAAAGTGGCACTGAATCAGCAAAAGATAAGTACATGCGTTTAACCTACCACACGGATCAAAAAACACCCCATTTGGGAAGAAAGTCTCTCCCATTTACTTGCTCCCTCCCCTCTCTGCACTGGTCCTGGGCTGGCTTCAGCAATTGTCATGTCCCCTGGGCCAGAAGTAGGACCCATCATGTACCCTGAGCCATTCTCCTGGCTTTGGAGAGGGAACAAATTAACAAACAGGGAAAAATAATCTGCCAGCTCCCCTAAGCTGGGAACTCAGGGCAGACACAGCTCCTTTGTCTAGGCACAGGCATAAAGGGCCCGTGGATTCTGAACACCTTTCACCCCTGCATAGACCTGTGTGGGCTCATTTCAACAGCGTATGCCCTCATTAGCACAGTACAACAGAGTATATACCCGAGGCCTAACTTCACTATATCAGCCATATGGTGGAGTGGCAGGTTTGTGACATTTGATACCGCTCTGCCCATTAAACAGGGTCCTCACTTACCCACATCAGGGGCCTGAGGACTGGTGGCTCCACCCACGCCACCTAGAAACCTGCAACACTGGTCCAAGAAAAAGCGGTGCATCCCAGTCCTTACAGCCAACAGCACTGGGTGCCCATAGTCCAGCTGCAAAACCCACCTACCTACACACTCTAGGCAACAGGGACATGCTTTCCTCCCAGACACTCAGGAGCAGCTGTCAGCCCTCTGCCTCGCTCAGCACATGACCCCCTACTACAGCCAGATCCCTGTGCCTCCACCAATCACCCATGCTTGTCTAGGACTCTAGGTGAGAGCCTGCACCACACACTTGGTGACTGTCTGGACACCTGAGCTGAATCCATACAAGAAAAGTAAACAGACTCCTGGGCTCACATACCTAGTAACAGATCTAACCACCTGCTGACAGGACATTAAAGCTTCAAAGATGTCAACAATCAAACTAGCTCACGTGACCTCACACAAGCCTATCTGGGCATAACAAAACAAAACAAAACAAGAAACTAGGACACAGTAAGCAAACATAAAATAAATATAATAACTTATTGATGGCTCAGAGACAACAGTCAATATTAAATCACATAAAGAGGCAGACCATGATGGCTTCAGCAAGCTCCGAAAACAAAGAATCAAGAAATCTTCCGGAGGAAGAGAACTTCTTGGAATTATCAGAGGTAGAATACAAAAGATTAATATACAGAACTCTTCAGAAGATCAGGCAAAACACATACCAAGCCAAGGAACACACAGACAAAGCAATAGAGGAACTTATGAAGATTACAGAAGAACACAATGACAAATTTAACAGGCTGCAAGAATCCACGGAGAGATAGCAATCAGAAATCCAGAAGATTAACAATAAAATTCCAGAATTAGACAACTCAGTAGAAACTCATAGGAGGAGAACTGAGGCAATGGAAGTCAGAATTAGTGAGATTGAAGATAAAGCATCTGACACCAACTTATTTGAGGAAAAATCAGACAAAAGAATTTTAAAAAATGAAGAAACACTAAGAATTATGTGGGACAATATGAAGAGGAATAACCTATGAGTGACTGGAGTACTAGAACACAGGGGGATAACAGAAAATACAGAGAGAATTGTTGAAGATTTGTTGGAAGAAAATTTCCCTAATATTGTGAAAGATGAGAAGATACCTATCCAAGATGCTCATCGAACCCCACAAAGATAGATCCCAAAAGAAAGTTACCAAGATATATTATAATCAAACTTGCCAAAACCAAAGAAAAAGAGACAATTTTAAGGGTGGCTAGGGTAAACAAAAAGTCATCTACAAAGGAGAGTCAGTAAGACTAAACTCTGACTACTCAGCAGAAACCATGCCAGCAAGAAGGCAATGGGATGACATATATAAAGACTTGAAGGAAAAAATTGCCAGCCAAGAATTATACATCCAGCAAAACTGTCTCTCAAATACAATGGCGAAATTAGGGCATTTCTAGATAAACAGAAGTTTTAGGAATTTGTAAAAATCAAACTAAAATTTACAAGAAATACTAAAGGCAGACCTCTGGTTCTAAAATAAGTAACAACAGATAGCAACCGAACACTAGAGCACAGGACGGAGCAATCAAATATAAACCCAGATAGGGAAGTCACAAAAATACACCAAAGCTGAAAACAGATGTCAATATGTAAAAGATGACAACATTAAAACAAAAAGAAGGACTAAAAGATGTAGTCTTTCATATGGAGAGGAAGTCAAGGAGGTATAAAGAAATAACACACGTAGCTCAACCATGTATACGGAACTAAATGGGCACACTAGCCCAGGGGCAAGGATGAGAAGGCAGGAGGGGATAGGAAAGTTGGATGAATGGAAATGGGGAACCCAAGATCAAGCAGGGGAGAGTGTTGACATATCGTGGAGTGGGCAACCAATGTCACAAAACAATATGTATGTTAATTGTTTAATGAGAAACTTAAAAAACAACAGAGTTCTGGCCCTGCTAGTACTCTAACTTGGCTACAGTGCACGCAGTGTATCTGTGTGATGGTTAAGATTGTGTGTCAGCTTGGCTGGGCCATGATTCTCAGTGTTTTAATGTAATCACTCCCATGATTGAATATACTGTGAGTAGCCAATCAGATGAAAGGGAGTCTCCTTGGGGGTGTGGCCCACATCTTAATATAAGCAGACGTTCTGGCTTTTTGCTCTCTCTGAATCCTGCGACTGCCTCCTGTCGTCTCATCTCTGGTTCTCGGGACTTGAGCTGTCAGCTTATCTGCCAAAACGTCGATCTTCACAGCCTCTGAGCAGAAGCCCTGCTCTCCGACCTGCCGATCTTGGCTTGCCAGCTTCTGTAACTGCGTGAGCTGGGATGGTCTAGCCTCTACAATCGTGTGAGCTGTTTCCTTGATATAAATCTCTCTCTATATATATATTTATACACTTTACTGATTTTGCTTCTCTAGAGAACCCAGCCTAAGACAATATGTGAAAGAATAAACAGGAAATGGGGCCGGGCAGGTAGGCAGGTCAGTGAAGAAACACTCCCCCAAAGTCTTCTAAAATTCTTCTTAACCTTGTGTAAAACCAAAGCATCATCCCCAAATTATGGCAGAGTCATGGCAGAATTCAGACTCTGGACAATGACTTTACCACATGGGAAACACTATGTGAGCTAACATGACAATGTGAGACAAAGAAATAAACTCGGTATCATTGGTATAACAATTTTACACTGAATCAAAAATCAAGTTATGAAAGTTATCATAGACAAAAATGGATATTTAAGTCATCCTCTGAGTTTCTGTACCCTAACACAAAAAGCCCTAATTTCCTATAGATCTGCTTGTGTATTTATCTATACACACACACACATATATATAAACAACAGTAAAGGATACCATCTTTGAAATGGAAAAATGAATACATTTGATAAGCTGTTACATTAAAAACAGTAGAAAGATTTATAATTTAAAACTCTGCATTTTTTACACAATGCAAAGATTGGTGTTTTTAGAGGACACACTTTGAGTTCTTACCATACGCTAAGATAAAAGGATTCCAGCAAATTTTTGCCAACAGTTGACCAATGGTGGGGAATCTTTCAATGACTGTATTGGAATCCTGTAAAAGAAAATTACATTTTGCTTAGTAAAAGGACACTATGAACTTCAGAAAGACCGAACTGACACCATACATTGAGGGAACTTGAATGCTTCTTGTTGGCATATATTTTATACTAAAAAAGATTAAAGGAGCTCTTCATGTAAGTAATTAAAACAAAGTTTAACAAGCAACCACTATACATCATCCTTAAACCAGGTCACCAAAACTAGGGTAAAATGAATTATGTTACAAAATTAATTTTACTTCACTTATGCTTAACATAAGTTAAGTCAAGAAAGACCAATGTATTTAAAAATAGCAAAGACTGCATGCAAGTTAAAAAAACATTATTGGTGACTAAAAACTGTCTATTCCTATAATACCTTCACCCTGAGTTTTTATTCTAAAATAATAAGAGAGGTTCCCAATTCAGCTGCAGTTGGGTTATTTCAAAGAAGGTTTAAAAAGAACTCTGGAACTTGTAAAAAGAAATAAAAGAAGCCAAAGTATAAAGATACATATCTCTGTTTATTACTGTTTTGATTGCTATATGCTAAATGACATCATACCTAGTCTACAGCAACCTAAAACCGCAAATAAAAAAAGATCAACCAAATGGAAAACAGCTTAAGATTAGAAAGTACACATGGTGTTGTACACTCGTTTTCCCACCTCTTTACTTTCTATGAGAGCTTAAAAATAAGACAAAACTGAGATAATGTGCAGGAAGCCAAAACAATGGCCATTTCTTGCTGTTGCAGCAAAAAAAAATTCCTTACATTTCTCTCAGCATCAAGGCTAGCCCAAGACTTTCTGGGACCACATAAAGGTCAAGTTACAATTTTAAAAATGAGCACTGGGGAGACGAGGCCAAGATGGCAGAGTAGGCAGACGCTTCCGGTGGACCTTCTTACTACAAAGACCAGAGAAAACAAGTGATTCGACTATATATGGCAGTCTGGGAGCCCTGACCATCAAAGGCAGAGTTGAGGAACCAGACAGAGTGACGGGGGAGGGAGAGATGGTTAGGAAGCAGTGAGGAGTTGCCAGTCCTGACCCAGCGAGAGCCTGAGCCCTTCAGGCCTGATCAGCTCAGGGGTGAGTGGTGAGGCAGGCAAGCAGTGGTGCTCAGGAGGTATGTCTTCCGCATCGGGGAGAGACCCAGTACCAGAGAGTCTACACAGCCACCCAGAACCAGTTAGAAGCAGCCCTCGATCCAACAAAAGATAAGTAATTCCGTACGGACTACCACGCGGATCAAAAACAGCCCCCTTAGTGAAAAACCTCTCTCCCATTTACCTGCCCGCTCCCTGCTCTGCACTGGGTCCCAGACCCGCTTTAGCAATTGCCGAGTCCCCTGGGCCAGAAGTACGATCCGTCACATGCCAGGAGCCATTCTCCCTGAGTTGAAGAGTGAATAAATTAACAAACAGGGGAAAAAATAAACTGCCAGCTCGCCTAAGCCAAGAAGCTAGGATAGGCAGAGCTCCTTTGCAGAGGCAAAGGCATAAGGGATCCATGGACTTTGAGTGCCTTTCCCCCTGCACAGACTTGTGTCGGCCCATCTCAACAGCTTAGGCCCTCATTACTGCAGTACAACAGGGTATATACCAGAAGTCTAACTTCAACTGTTTCAGCTGTGAAGTGGCAGGTTCTTGATATTTTACACGGCTGTGCCCATTAAGCAGGGTCTTCACCTACCCACATCAGGAGCCTGAGCACTGGTGGCTCTACCCACATCACCTAGCTACCTGCGATAAGGGCCTATGAATAAGAAGTGCCCACCAGTCCTTAAAACCAACAGCATTCAGTGCTCATAGTCTGGCTACAAAACCCATCCACCCACGTGCTCTAGGGAAGAGGGACACGCCTTCCTCCTGGAAACATGGGGGCCGCCGACAGGCCCCTACCTTGCTCAGAGTGTATCCCCCTGCAGCAGCCAGATGCCTGTGACTACATAAATCACCCATGCTTGTCTAAGACTGTAAGTGAGAGCCTACACCACACACTTGGTGGCTAGCTACCTGGGCACTTGAGCTGAATCCATACAGGAGGAGTGTACGGACTCCTGAGCTTACATACCTTGTAATAGATCTAACCACCTGGTGACAGGACATTAGAGTTTCAAAGGTGCCAATAATCAAAGTAGCTCCTACGAGCAGTCTATCTGGGCATTTCACAAAAAACAAGAAACTAAGACACAGTAAGCAAACATAAAATAAATAAATATAATAACTTATTTATGGCTCCAAAACAACAGTCAATATCAAATCACATAAAGAGGCAATCCATGATGGCTTCAGCAAGCTCCCAAAATAAAGAACCTAGAAATTTTCCAGAGGAGGAAACTTTCTTGGAATTACCGGAGGCAGAATACAAAAGACCAACATACAGAACTCTTCAAGAAATCAGGAAGGAAATTAAGCAAAACACAGAACACACAATAGAGGAAATTAAAAAGACTAGAGAAGAGCATACTGAAAAATTTAACATGGTGGAAGAATCCAGAGAGAGACAGCAATCAGAAATCCAGATTAACAATAAAATTTCAGAATTAGACAACAGAAAGTCATAGGAGCAGAACTGAGGCAACAGAAGTCAGAATTAGTGAGATTGAAGATAAAGCACTTGACACTAAGTTATTTGAGGAAATATCAGATAAAAGGATTTAAAAAACTGAAGAAACCCTAAGAATTATGCGGGACTTTATCAAGAGGAATAACCTACGAGTGACTGGAGTATCAGAACGGGGTGGGGGAAATACACAGAGAATTGTTGAAGATTTGTTGGCAGAAAACTTCCCTGATATCGTGAAAGATGACAAGATATCTATCCAAGATGCTCATCGAACCTCACATAAGGCAGATCCCAAAAGAAAGTCACCAAGACATCTTATAACCAAACAGGCCAAAACCAAAGATAAAGAAAGAATTTTAAGCGTGACTAGGGATAAACAAAAAGTCATTTACAAAGAAAAGTCAATAAATAAGAATAAGCTCGGACTACTCAGCAGAAACCATGCAGGCAAGAAGACAATGTGAAGACATATTTAAAGCATTGCAGGAAAAAAAAATTCCAGCCAAGAATTATATATCCAGCTACAATGTCTCTCAAATATGATGGTGAAATTCGGGCATTTCCAGATGAACAGAAGTTTAGGGAATTTGCAAAAACCACACCAAAATTACAAGAAATACTAAAGGAAGTCCTCTGGTTAGAAAATCAGTAATATCAGATAACCCAAGACTAGAACACAGGACAGAGCAACCAGATATGAACCCAAATAGGCAAGTCACAAAAGTAAATCAAAGCTAAAACACTGAAAATAGGGGAAGAGATGTCAATATCTAAAAGATGACAACATTAAAACAAAAAAGAGGGAATTAAAAAATGTAGACATAGATTTTTCATATGGAGAGGAAGTCAAGGCGATATAAAGAAATAAAAGACTGGTATAAACTTAGAAAATTAGGGATAAATATTAAGGTAACCACAAAGGAAACTAACACTCCTACAAGTCAAAATAAAAAAACAGAAAAATATAAAGACTCAGCAAACACAAAATCAACAACAATGAAAAAGATGAAAAGAAACTACATAAAGAAAAATGACTCAGCACAGAAAATTAAGTGGAACAAAGACACTGTGAACAACACACAAAAAAAAACACATCAAAATGACAGCACTAAACTCATACCTATCAATAATTATGCTGAATGTAAAGGAACTAAACGCACCAATAAAGAGACAGAGAGTGGCAGACTGGATGAAAAAAACACGATTCGTCCATATGCTGCCTACAAGAGACACACCGTAGACTCAAAGACACAAACAAACTAAAACTCACGAGATGGAAAAAAAAATATATCAAGCAAACCACACTCAAAAAAGAGCAGGAGTGGAGATATTAATCTCTGACAAAATAGACTTTAAAGTAAAATCCACCACAATGGATAAGGAAGGACACTACATAGTGATTAAAAGATCAATACACCAGGAGGACATAACTATAATAAATATTTACGCACCCAATGACAGGGCTCCAAAATACATAAAACAAACTCTAATGGCACTGCAAAAAGAGACAGACAGCTCCATAATAGTAGTAGGAGACTTCAACACACCACTTTGGTTGAAGGACAGAAGATACAGACAAAAGCTCAACAAAGACACAGGAGAGCTAAATGCTACAATCAACCAACTTGATCTCACAGACATATACCAAACACTCCACCCAACAGCAGCCAAGTATACTTTCTTTTCTAATGCACGTGGAACATTCTCCAGAACAGACTAGATATTAGGCCATAAAGCAAGCCTAAACAAACTCCAAAGCATCGAAATATTACAAAGCATCTTTCCTGAGCATAAAGCCATAAAAGTAGAAATCAATAACAGAAACAGCAAGGAAAACAAAATCAAACACATGGAAACTGAACAACACCTTGCTCAAAAACTACTGGGTTACAGAAGAAATTAAGGTTGGAATAAACAAATTCATAGAATCACACGAGAAAGAAAACACATCCTACCAGAACCTTTGGGACATGGCAAAAGCAGTGCTCAGAGGTCAGTTTATAGCAATAA